ATTATTACTACATGTAGTAATTATTACTACATGTAGTAATTATTACTACATGTAGTAATTATTACTACATGTAGTAATTATTACTACATGTAGTAAATATTACTACATGTAGTAATTATTGTTATAAATAAATATACTATATATTACGATATATTACTAAATTTATAACAATTAAGCTTATATAGTGAATAAACCTGCATTAACTATAATATCCTACATATTACTAAATTTATACTATATACGTAGCAATAGTACGCATAGCATTAACTATTTTTGTCTCTATTTTTCTGCAATTCCTATTGATCGAAGCTTGTAGCATCTAAGTATGTAATGTGCCTGCACCATATGACAGGAAGGCACAAAGTAAATACAATTGAGCTTGGAGTCATATAACTCCAAATAGTAGGTTATGGAGATATATCTGTTAGATCAGTAGAGCTATATGTATGCAGAATTTATTAGAGTTAGTAAATGTAACTGAACCTGGAGTTGTATTACGTGTCACAGTTGGTTATCGATTAGATCAGTTTTTTAATGCAGAGTTTATTATTTTTGTATAGTAAAATAGTATAATAGAGTAAAAAGTAGCATATAAATATAAAATAAGGAAATAAGTAAGTTGGAATACGTTTTTTCGCAAGTAATAAACAATACGTACAAATCTTGTCGTTGGTGGTAAATGCAGGTTGTGATTGAAGGTGTGGATTGTGATTGAAGGCGTAGGTTATTAAAAAATAAAGAACTAGTTATCACAGTGTAATAAAAAGAAAAAATAATACAAATAGAAGCGGGTTTTTACCTGATACTATTTTATTGTCGTAAGACAAACCATACGATGATATTTTTACTATAAAAAAATTGTATTCTATGAGGCGTATATAGGCAATCTCGATGGAGAAATTAGGGTAGAAAAGAATAAATACATAACGTGTAATATTGTTAAAGGATATACGGTACAGGTGACAACTTAACATTGATTATTGTTATCAATATGGAATTTGAGCTGAAAGGGATGAAAAAGTTATATGAATGGAATATCTACGAAATTGGAATCTAAAAAAACGAATATAAAGCATTCGAACATTACCAAAAATCTATTAAGATGTAGAATGCTATAGGCATAAATGGTATTGGGACTGTACATAAGACATTTAATATTAGTTTTTGTTTATTTCAATGAAATGAGTTAATAAAGATGAACTTAAACATTTGAGATTGATGAAAAGACAAATGTAAGACATTCGACTATTATTAAAGTTCGGATATAACAAATACTTTGACATTTAATGTTGGAACTGCCAAGAAGAAACTGGAGTTAAAAGAAAAATAATTTAAAGACATTCGTTTATTGTCAAAAATATAATTGCAATTATGGATTAAGGACATGTAATTAAGGCATTGAGTATTGTCAGAAATATACGGATATGGGGGATCTATAGATACGAACAATTTTGGGAGTCGCTATTGCAAAAAAATGGAAAAGATAAATAGTAAGTATTTATTTATCATTAGAAACCTGCTAATCAGAGTAATTCTAATGATAGAATAGTGTTATTGAGTTGACAAAGACAGAATAAATATTCGATTATAAATCTGTTGAGCTGGGAAAATTGATGAAATATACTATATTCTTATGGAGAATTGGATTTGATAATAAGAATGCCTTTTTTTTCTATCGTGAGTTACCTTTTTAAAACTATAAGAATATTTAATTTATATTAATTATATTAATTTAAATACCTTTTAAAGATCTGAAAGCTACATAACTGCGGTTAAGGAAATAAATTGGATCATGATGCTAATACGTATATTTTAAAATGATACCCGATGTAAGATATTTAATTATCAAAAATTTAATACTATATTATGAATACTTATCTGTTATAGTCCATTTAATACTTATTGTATAGACTAAAAGTCGAAAATGACAGAGTATTCGAACAATCTATAGATTGTAAATATTGTTACTGTATATTACCTAAGCACAAATGATTGACACATATAGTGCATACACACACACGAATGATTCTATTATTAGTCTAGGTAACTCGGATTGTTATTGTATTATACTTACCTGGGCTCACGATCGGGTGACCCAGGTAGAATTCTTTAGTCTAATTACTAATACACATATCGATATATAATGTAATGATCAGCATAAAAATTTTTTTTTAGATTGCAACGATCACTTTTTTTTGTTTCAAAAATGTCTTCGCCTGATGATATTAACGATGAAGAATCTACCTCAACTGAAATATCTGGTAGTAATACTCAACAAGGAATAGCTGGACGACCTTTTAATCCTGTTTGGAATTATTTCAATCAACTAGAAAAAAAGAAAAATGGTCATTACTCAGCTAGTTGCAAGTATTGTCCACAACAGTGGTCACGCGGTGATATATCAACTTTCAAGATGCATATTGCGCGTAATTGTTCTAAAGCCCCCATGGAAGCGCAACTTTTGTATTATAAGCAATTAACTGAAAATGATGAAAGTCAAAATTCAAGTAAAAAACGAAAAGCAGACACCAAAAATAAGGAAGATATCCTTAAATATGTTGAAAGTCAAGAATTACCTTCAAAAAGACAAGAACAACTAGAAGATGGCATGTGTCGTGCATTTGTTTGTGCGGGTATCTCATTTAATGTTGCCAAAAATGAAATTTTTCGTGCATGGCTACAGGAACTTAGACCAGGTTTTAACATACCTAGTCCTAAAACACTTGCGGGAAGGATTTTTAACAAACAACTTATTAAGGTAGAAATGAAAATGGAAAATGAACTACAAGATAAAAAAAATATTACCCTTGGTATGTAAATATTAGTAAGGCCACACAAAATTAATTAATTGGGTTTCATAATCTGGCCGTGTTCAAATTTTATATATTTTAATAGTTGGGTGGGTTTTAAAAAAATTTTTTATAAAAATTTGCCAGGTCTATTTAAAAGTTTCATTTTATGAAAACCAAGAAATTAAATTGTATGGCCTTAGGTTTATTTTTTACAATTAAATATGTAATGATATTTTATATTTATATCTTATAGCACTTGATGGGTGGATGGATCCACGAGGCCGATCAATTTGGAATTTTTTACTTTTAACACCCGACCGAAAAGAACATTTGTACGCTTTGCATAACTATTCGGATGTACGTCATACAGCAGAATTTCTCGCACAAGAAATTGAAACAATTATTACTCAAATTGGAGTTAAAAAAATTTGTGCGGTAGTAAGCGATAGCGGTGCGAATATTGTAGCAGCAAGACGGCTAATTACACAAAAATTCCCTCATATAATGAGTGTATCATGTATAGCCCATCGGCTAAATCTTATTTGTAAAGATATTATGAAGGAATCTTTTTCAAAATCTATTTTGTCTCAGGCAACATTAGTTGCTCAATTTTTTAAATCATCTCATATGGCTAATGCAGCACTTGAAAATGAAATTCAAATTAACCATATTATAGGCGGGGGTATTAAACGATATGTAACAACTCATTGGTCAAGTTATTACGATACAATTTATTCAATATTACGTTTAAAGGTTGCATTTTTCCGAGTAAGTTGATAGCAATAAATTCTCAATATAATGAAACTGATTTTTAATCCAATAATCTTACTATAATATAAAACTAATTATTATATATTTACAAAGATTTTAGAACATAATCCAGATGTTATTACAAATAATGAAGTATACGTGATACTAAATAAAGGCTCATTTTATGATGATTTATATTTTATGACTACGATCTTACGACCAATTAAAGAATCTATTGTTCAACTTGAAAGTCGTGATTCAACATTAGCAGACTGCTTTGTCCATTTAATTAAATTGGCAGCTACAATTTATCAAATACCTCAAGACCAACATGTTACTTTTCGAAAATATTGTATTACTTCTATTAATAAACGGCTTTTAGAGTTTAATAACGATATATATTATTTGGCATATTTTTTGCATCCAAAATTTAAGGGTAAAGTATATATCTACTGTATGCTTATTTATTTTTTTATTTCTTAGTTGTTTTGATATAGCGTCTTATACCTTAAAATCTATTATAATATTGTATATGTATGTTAGGTCGCGGTTTTAAAAGGGGTCAATATAAAAAAATCGCAAAATATGCAAGTACTTTGTGGAAAGCTTTTGGCAAAAGCAAAGAATCTTGCCGACAACTTTTAGGACAACTTGCTTCTTATAAAGACAATGAACCACCTTATAATGATCCATTTGAACCTGATTGCCAAACGCTGCTGACATGGTGGAGAGCGATTGAAGATGTTTATGATTACCTTCGTTCTTTAGCAATTAAGCTTCTTAATATTACTCCGCATTCCGCTTCTTGTGAAAGGGTTTTTTCAGCTTTGGGATGGATCTATGGAAAAAAAAGAACCGGATTAGCATTTGAAAAAGTAGAAGCATTGGCAAAGATTCATCGATATTATACGACGCATACCAAAGAAGAAATTTCTTATATTAATCGTGAGCTTACTTTAGAGGATGTGTTAGTCGTGGCAAATGAAGCTGGAGAGTTAGATGATAACGATTCAGATGATGATTCTGATGATGATGATGAAATAGAATTTGAATCATTAGATGAGCTTTTGAAATTGGAAGAAAGTTTTGACCTAAATCATGAAGTTTTTAAAGAAAAGGGTCAAAGTAATAATACTGAATCGAACTCTGAAAATGTAGTTGAAGAACAGCCAAATTATAATTATGATGTTGATAGTTTGGTTGATGAGGTTTTTACTTAACAAAAAAAAAAGATGTATCTAAATTTTTTTTTTTGAGTAATATAAGTTCAATAAATAAAAAAAAATAGGTTAGTTTGGTCCACTCCAAATACGAATACTCAACTCTATCTCATTTGTGTTGACTAATAAGAATAAATAATTATGATAAAATTACTGATCAATGCATTTACTATAAGTAGGCAGAAGGCATGATAAAATTTTCAGAAATGCCTCCCAGGGGCATGCCATAGACCAAGGTATTCCCTACTTATCGTGCCTTAGGCATGCCCCTAGTATATAAATCATATAATAAGTTTTGCTTGTGCAATATGAATAGCTTTCGTTTAGCATCAAAATTACCGTATTTTGCGAAATAAAATACCTACGTGATGCAAATTTTTTTTACACATAAAAATTAAATATTACAATTAATGCACATCACATTCTTATACAACAAGCATTTAAGAAGGAAGTCTATACTATTTGGCACGAAGGATATTTTATCCCACAAAATATAGTACGTATATAAATCAGAAAATAAGATCATCATTACTTAATATAAACCTCATTTATGTACTTCCCTAATGATTTCAAGATTTAATTTCTATTATATTAAATTCATACAGAACATATTAATTGTTATTAAAAGCCGATTAAGCTAAATGGTACTATAATAAAGATCTTTAAACTTGTATTAAACATTCTAATTATCTTTGATTAAGTTTGTAGTATTTATATTGCTAATAATCGTTTGAATTTTAAATAGAATGATTTGGTTTTGAGATTGTTTATGTAGTAACAGCAGATAATATTAACGTTCTTATGAAATAAAAGGTGAAATATTAGATTTATCTTAGCCAATCACACGCGTGAAATATTTCCCAAGTTCACATGATATGGGCATGCCCTCTGGCCAAAAGGCATGCCCAGAGACCCCGTGCCTCCTATCCTAACCATAAGCTATTCGAGTTTATAACATTAATTTTTATAATGTTTTTCATTTTATTCATATAAATATCTGTAATTGAGATGTATATTCGCAATTGATTTCACTCATAATCTTCAGTAAAAATTGAGTTTACATTTGATTACTGAAGAATAACTAATCTTTGTCACAAATTATTTTTAAATCCAAGTTAATTATTAATATTATTACATATAGTAAATAATTACTACATATTACTACATGTAGTAAATATTGCTACGTGTAGTAACTATTGCTATGTGTAGTAAATATTACTACATGTAGTAAATATTACTCTATGTAGTAATTATTACTACATGTAGTAATTATTACTACATGTAGTAATTATTACTACATGTAGTAATTATTACTATATGTAGTAATTATTACTACATGTAGTAACTATTACTACGTGTAGTAATTATTACTACATGTAGTAACTATTACTACAATTATGGTTTTAAAAAATCTTTGTAAAAATATATGTAGTAAATATAATTGTAGTAATTAGCTATTTACGGCGCCATGCTTTAAGATGAGCATTTATTAGTACGTTTTGTATAACTGCTAGTTTTGTTTCTACTTGTGGAGGCTGTTGTGTTAATGTGTACTGTTTGGGTGTTGATATTGGTCATAGCCTTTTGGGTAGTAGGTGTAGCATTTGCTGCATTATTTGTCTCCTTGTTTTGATGAACGTCATCATCTGTATCAATTTCTGGTATTAGGTTATAAGGAACTAATGGTAGTTCATTTGAATATTTTGGTGCTACATAGGCCCTTTGTGTATCTTCATATGCTTTAATTGTTATTCCTAGATCACAGCTACGAGTACTTCTAGGTAACTTGGCATTAATGTTTACGAAGTTATGTTTGAAGTAGTTTGTGAGATCAAATAGAATTGATTGAGTAACATTATTGTGCTTGCATATCCATTGTGCAGGAAATTTGACCAAATTTGGAATGTGTCCTAACCTGATAAGATCAATAGTAAATAAGTATCTGTCAGCAAAGTCAGGGATAATAAAGGTAACAGTGAATGTAAGTTTTGTCCAGTCTTTGATAGTAATATTGATGAATTCCTTGGTGTATTCTGCTGTTGGGTCCTTTTGTTGTGTACTAGCAGTTGTTGTGGCCTTTGAATTGGTCGTCTTGTGAGAAAAGTAAGCTAAAGGGTAGGCAAAAAACCCACTTTGTTGTCCAGCAGTATTTGGGGTCTGTTGTGTAGAGGTTTCATTTGACTATTGCTTGTGCTGCTGTTGATAGTTTGCATGTTGTCCTGAGGTGTTTCCTGAGGTGGGGTTGACAGGTCCATAGGACCTTCACTACTTGCAAGTAGAGAGTTGTGATGAGTGTCGTTTATCTGTTCTCCGTCCAGTAGTTGTTGCTCTGATGCAGGTTTCTTAGAAAGCTTATTGTTTTATTATATTTCCAGCTATGCTGGACAAGTTTACTTAAGGGCCTGGAGTATGTTTAGTTAGTAGTTCTTGAGTTTTCTTTGTTCAGGGTTTTTTCACTTTTGCTCCGGTTTTGGTAAAAATAATCAGCGGTTAGAGTTCACATCAACAACATCTATACAACACATAATTTGGATATACTACCAATATCCTCTAATCTTGATTTATTATTTAGCTAGATTATTAACAGCAATAAGGCATAGAAACCCTCTATCATGCATGTAATATAGAAAATATTAGAAAAATAATATAACAAATTAATGACAACATCTCTAAAAGATGTTACAAACTTTATATCTATCCTAAATTTATGATTAATAATATACTGAGCTGACATAAAGATCCTGTTAAATTTGACAATATCAAAATTGATAATAATATTATTACTGATACTCATAATATTAAAGCACATATACAACACCATTTTGACTAATAAACCAGCCCTTGAACAATCAATAAAACCATCCACTTAGCAACATAATGATGAATCTTTAGATTATATTAACTAGGAATGGTATCAAAGTGCACTTTTCAAGTTCTCAATTAAGAAGATTACATTTACCTTATTACAGCTACTCAACAACAAAGCTTTTGCTCTATCAGACATTAGTTATAAAATGCTAAAATATATAGGCTTACCTTTTCTTTAATCTATTACATCTTTATTTAATAGATGTATTTCTACTAATCAAATTCCAAAACAATGGAAAGAAGGTGAATCTAGCAACTCTTTCTGATAATCACTTGGACCAACTGTTTCCAACCAACTCAAGTTGAAAAATTCAAAGTCAAACATCTAAAACTATCCAAGTTTCTTTTTTTAATCACTATTAACGAAGTCTTTAATGTGATATATTGAGGAATAAGCATTATAGAAGTGGTTTTTAGGTTGAGTCAAGCCTTTTTTCTTTTCAGTAAACTCCTTTCTATATTCAACATCCAAGCCAGAAGGTCTATTTTGGTAGCAATTAAATAAAAGAGAGACTTTGAATAATAAAGAAAGAAGAACAAGAAACAATCTAGAAAGCACTCACTATGGTTGAACCTTACAAAACTTTTATTTTTCCTCGCTACTCTTTTTATTAAAATTTTTGGCAAAAAGTGGAGAATTTAGCTACACCCTCCAAAAGATCAATAAGTGATCAGCACTGTTTATCACTTTCATTTTCAGAAAGTCTCAAGTTGCGATATAATGAATTAAAAAAACAACAAAACATGTATAAGAAGGAAGTTTTGAAGCTAAAATTAAAACTGATGATCACGTGTTGAGGCTTTAAAGTCAAATATTTTAGAACCCAAACTAGATTTTATATAAGAGTTGTAACTAGAACACTATATGAGATATATAATATTCTGAAGTTATATACATATAATTTTTAGTCCTTAGCATAGGTTAAAGTGCATTTTGGTTTGTTTTTATGTCAGATAGCTCTATATATAGATTTCTATGACCATGTAGATAGTTTTTTACCTAGTTAGCAGGTTTTTATATCTGTAGACAGGTTCTCTTAGATTTTAGAATAGTCTTTTAACTCTTTTATAATTTGGTTATTTTCTTTGTATATTTGTTTTTTTTTGTACTTTCACTATTTTTGTTTTACATTTACATCTTTTTTTTTTTTTACTTTTCTATAAGAAAGTATCATCAGATTAGCAACACTTTATTATTGAGCATTGATTCTGACAAGAGTAGTGAAAACCATCTGTTGATACTGAGGCTCAAATTCTCAGAAAGTTGAGGATCATGGTGAAGGAAAATATTCACTTAGATGAGTTATTTCTAGGGCATACTCTTGCACTTAAGTCTGGTTTGCTAGGATTAGGTTGTGATAATGAGACAGATCGAGAGATTCTTTATTTGAATAGGTATAAACTAGTTTATGATAGATAATATAGGTTTAGCTAACTGAATATTTATTTGTAATCTTTTGCTAATTTATAAAATAAAGGAAGGATTGCTGAAGTAAAAAAAAAAAATAAAATAAAATAAAAAAAAAAAAAAAAAAGATAAAATCTATCTAATTTCTAAAAAACCTATTTTTGATGGCAACCTGATTAATACCAAATCTATAAGTTTATTAGAATATATTAAAAAACTATATACTAATCTTCTAACTAACCACCTTAACTATATATTTACCAAACATCAAATTCTCATTCTTTTTAACTACATTGTGCTTTCTGAGAATAATACTTCTATTTCTATACATATCTTCAACAATATAATAGAAGATACTATCTATAATTTTAAAGATCTTTATGCTTTTTATTCAATTAGCATTTATTATGTCGAATTTATATGAATGATCATTAACATTAAAATTAAGGGTAGAGCGAATGTAGATTATTTTTAATAGTGATTTAACCAATTACAATTGTAAATAATAAAATTCTGACTAATAAAAATTAGTAATTTTGTGTTATCTAGGCAAATTTCAATTAATTTAG